CCATGTCAGCCATAGTAGTGCATGGATAGCAAATACAGGATCGCTAATCTGAAGATGACCAATGGGGGAAGATGACCAAAGTAAGGAGGCTGACCACCAATGTTAGGGGAATTTGGAATGTCCCTTACATTGGAGGTCAATGGGAAGACTGCTCATTTACATTCTTTGGCAGTGGGACGCATGTACATTTCTTCGCACTGACCACCCATAAAAGGTTTCTGGGGGAACAAAGCTTCTTACACAGAAGAGTGTGAAATATACTAGGAACACCACTGAGTCAGTGATCTGGAACATGTCTGGAAAGTTATAATAAAGTAAGAACTCCTGATCTACATACCTTGTCCATGTCAGTGCCTCAGAAAGTATTAAAGACATTGGATCATCATAACAGCCAACTAACTAGCTGTAACGATCCGACGGGTTATGACAGTGGATCTCAGCTGCGGAGATTAATTACAGTATATACCAGGTTTAGATTAGGCTCAGCCCGAGGGTTCACGGTTGCACTCTGTATGGTTGGAGCGATGCAGAGGAAGGGAGAATCGTGGAGGGTATCACTCGGGGATGGAACCCATAGGTAGCGAAGAATGGAGACATTCGAGTGGAGGCATTGACAGAGTTGTTGTATGCAAGTTCTGCAAGAGGGAGCAGTTGCACCCAGTCATCTTGTAAGTAGGAAGAGTAGCACCGGAGATATTGCTGCAAGCATTGATTAACCCTTTCTGTCTGCCCATTTGTTTGAGGATGATGAGAACTGGAGAGGCGGTGGTCAATGTGCAGGGTTTTGCAAAGTGCCTTCCAAAACTTCGAAACAAACTGAGTTCCGCGATCGGCTACCATGCGGTTAGGAAGACCGTGCAACCTTACTACGTGGTGTATGAAGGCGTCTGCCATTTCCTGTGCGTTGGGGAGTCTCTTTAGAGGTATAAAATGAGCCATTTTGGTCAACATATCCACCGTCACGAGTATGGTGTTATGGTTTTTGGACATGGGTAATTCAACGATGAAGTCTAGAGAAACTGTATTCCAGGGTGTGTCGGGCACAGGAAGGCTCGTCAGCAACCCATATGGACGGTTTCTATCAGATTTGCAGGCAGCGCAAATGTCGCAAGTGGCAACAAATTCCCGGACGGTTCTGGACATGTGTGTCGCGGTAGCAATACGAGAACGCCGAGGTAGTTCAAGTCGTGTTCTTAAAAGGGGATCGGACTGTTGAGGTGGGCGGAGTCACGAGCGGCGGCCGCGACCGCGTCTCCTAGTGACGTCATGCCGCTGTATCGAGGGGCCGGCCCGCTGCCCGAAGGATCTGATACTAGAGGTACCGTTACACTAGCAATGTCAGGAGACGGCAGCAGTGGCATCCACCATATTCTATTATTACAGCTTATTAATTTTGTCTCAATCAAAACCTAACAGTAATTAAATAGTCATATTTTTTAGTCACAGAATGAACGATGGCTTATGCTCATCATCATGACAGCCGCAAGGTCATCCTGCTACTCGCTTTTTTTTCTTTTCAGCATCTGAACCTGATAAACACTGTAGCTTTTGAGAGGAAAAATGATATAATGAACAATGGAACACAACTCACACAATCCATTGTAAATCTGTATATACGCAAAGACAGTATACTTGCCCTACCTTTGTGTTTGAATTTGTGCTAAATCAATTTATTGACAGTAGACCTATGACATAATGCCAGATGCTCTTTATTAAGCTGAGCACAGTGCAAAAGTAACAGATGAGCGAATCATCCATAGAATTTTGAGGTTTGCTTTGCACTGGACTTTTTTTTTTAAGGTTATTCATTTGCAATCTTTGTTTTTTAAATTACATATAATTCACCCAATTAAAATGGTGCCGTCCCAGCACAGCCTACATACCGACAGGATGTTATTAGAAATGGAGGCCTCATTTACATAAATCTATTGATGCCACCACTGATCTAACTTCCTCCACCAGCTTATCTCAGCATCACCTCTTAGTTTCAGTGTATTAGGCTGGGCACACACCTTACAACCATCGCAAGACTTTTGTCTTGCGATGGTTGTAAGGTACTTAAAAAAACGTACGATCTGCCTATCTTGCATAGGCAGATCGTACTTGCGATGACCGCAAACCACGCCCCCTGAGGGGCAGGCTTTCGATCACCGCAATGCCAAACGGGCAGTGTGCGCTTGCGCACACCGGCCCGTCCGGCTTTTATCTTACGAACATGCTACACACCCGCCGAACATCGTACGATGCTCGGCGTTTTTCGAACATGTTCGTAAGTTTAAAGTCGTGCGACCTTACAGTAGTAGAGGTTGCACGGCTTCCACACACCTTACGATAATCGTACGATCGCAGGATTTCCCGCGATTATCTTAAGGTGTGTGGGGACCTTTAACTGGCAATGAAAAAAGGACTGTATGTTTAGATTATTAACAGGGTGCCAAATAACTGCCAAGGCAGTTGTTTGGGCATATATGCCACCTGACACACAGGGGCCTCCTACAAAAGAAAATCAGCATTGTAATAGGAATACATACTAGAGTCGTTTTTGATAACGCAATCAAAGCTTACTGGGAAAAAATTATTTTATGTAGTGAGTACCGCCCTACCTCTGCCCATCACTTTCACCAACTTCCTGGATTCCCGGTGTTCTTTGTGTCTCTTTCCCTGTTGCTTGATATGATGCAATCTCCATTTCTCAAGACTACATATCGCATCATGCATTGCTTCCAGCAAGGAATGATAATGTCACATTGTTCAGACGATGAGTTGTAGTTCAAAAGGCAGGCTCTGTGAGAGGTGTGAAACAAGTAGGACCATATTCACAGGGCTGAGTGGAATTGGGTCACTGCATAGGAAGTTCATCCTATGGGCATCTTCAATAAGACTTCTAGATTAATATGGTTATTAAGAGTGGGAGAACTTATAGAAATTCAATATAGAAAGTCATATTTATTTAAATTTCTGACCATAGATACCCTTTAAAGGCCAAATCCACCCAAAGCTAATGTTTCATTCTTAAGCATTCACCTTTGGTTAAAATGACTCGCAGAAACTTTAATTGGTGAGATCACTGTGCAGTAGTTTGTGCTTAACACCTCCTACTTGAAGACCATCATGATGGTGTCTCTCTCCTTAGGTGGACCCAATCATTTGCTTATTGAATCTATTGGAGGTAGTATGGCACCAAAATCTAACTTTGTAATGCAAAGAACTTCGCATTCCTGTAGGAAAAACTGACCAATGGAGCCCCAAACCATGGAAAAAACAGCATGTGATTCAGCTAGAAACCCCACAACACCAATCATTTTGGGTGAAATTTGTCTTTAAACACGTCCCATAGCTTTGTATCTGTTGTATAACATTTTCCCTTAAGAGCAGCAAATGAGGCTTTTTCCTCCAGGTATTTTAGAACCTTCTGGATACAAAATAAACAGATGAAGAGAGGCTCTGTTTTGTTCTTTTATTTTTCTTTTAATTAAAAGTTAATTTATCTATCTACGAACAGAAAATGACTATGAGTGCTCAGAGGCTGTGTGATATGTATTAATTGAGTCATTCTTTCTTCCTTCCAATCTATTAAGCAGTCATTTACCTTCAAATGCAATCCTTTCAAGGTGAGAAAACAAGATTGCTCTTTAGACTGGGAGATTTGAATAGGAATGCTCTGAAAAAAAGGGCTTTATCCTTTCCTTCTTCTTTTAACTCTCATTTTCTTCTTTGTAAGTCAGTATGAATGAGGTGCTTGTGTTTTCTTTGTTTTGTTCTTCATAATGGAGTATAACAATCAAATACATGGCATGAAAAATCTGGAGAATGCAAAAAAATCTGAATTCATTTGAGCTAGTATGAGTGTCAGAAGGGACCTGCATTAAAGGAGAAAAACATCAAATAAAATGGTAAATATGCAAAGCGAAAAGGTATTTAAAGTGACACTAAACTTAGCCCTTAAATCTTAAAAATGCATGTAAGTACCTTAAGTATTAACAAAAATGTATCTTATTTTTGTATGTTTCACTCAGCTGTAGATCCTCAAATCATCTCTGAATTGCTGCTGACACTGTCCTTCCTTCTGGAGGGTGGCTACTTTTGTTCCCCATGGTCCCTTTGTGTGTTGTAAAGTAACCACAGCTCCAAGCTCGCTCCTGTGGTGGACTACAATCTTCTGTTTAGTTTACTGATTTTTATTGAGATTGTAGTCCATCACAGGAGCTAGCTTGGAACGGTGGCTACTTTACAAGACACAAAGGTACCATAAGGAATAAAAGTAGCCACCCTCCAGAAGAAAGGACAGTGTCAGCACCCATCCAGAGAAGGGACAAAAATGCATTCAGGTACCTTAACTATTAACCAAAATGTATCTCAGATGTTCCAGTCGTGTCATCCAATTCATACCGCTGTGATCAGGAGGGGGTCCATGCGCTGTTTCCCTCCTAATCAGCCCATGTGACTTAAACAAGCAGTACAATAAGCTGTAAAACAAGCCCTTACTGACCTTTGTAGCTACAGGTATTGTGCCAGGGCAGTCATTAATAATGTCTTACCAATGTATTACAGCTGCCATGTCGGTTTGATGTGGCACGTGCAGATCTCCTAACATAAGCACTCCTGGCTAACACTACATCTTAGGTCTAAGACAATCCACGTATGTTGCACTGTACTGTTGAGACACCATGGATCTAAACAGAACTGCTGGCAAGACAGATTTTAAAATACAGAGTGCAGTGAGAGCAAATCATTGGAGATAGGAGATGTGTAATAGGAATTTGCCATTGTGAAGAGAGCAGTAGTTAGTCACCAGGATGAATGGATGCAGGTAGTTAAAGCACAGATCTGGAGAAAGGCCTACACAAGATCTGATTTGTCTGTTTTCCAGATGCATGAGTGACTTCAATGAAGCAGAGTGATTATGATGATACTGTGCCGTGCTGATGAACTTTATCGTGAGCCGGTATCCTATTCATCCGAGACGCACTTTGTAACACAAATGCAACTTTGTCTTGCAGATCCCAGTACCGGTTATGGAGATAAGCTCCACCAATCACCCTGTGAAAGTGGGGGTGTCAGACGCCTTCGTGGTGGTGCACAAGATTCAGCAGATTCCAAGTAAGTATTTCTTGATATAAATTCAGCTTCTGTCCAGTCAAGAATTCCGTTTTTAAACTGAAACTAGGGTGGCCACCTGGCTGATATAAATGGGCCTTGTTGCGGATGTTATTAATAGGAAAGAGATCATAAAGAAGATTTCCTGAAAAGGTGGTAACTTTAAATAGGACTGAAAAAAGTTTTGTTTGGAGACCCACTCTAAAAAATTAGTGTACAATTGTAAAGAAAAGTAACTGTTAAAGCCCGAACTCCAGCCAAAATGTTAGATTCAGAGTGGGGAAGCATGAAACCCATTTCAGCTTTTAAAGAGGCCTGTATTTCCGCTACAGAGATTCATCCTCACTTCCTGACTTTCTAAAGTAAAATGGAGACGGGTTAGAAAATTCCATTCCCTGCATGCTTGGTTGGCAGTTTAAGATATGAAGTAACAGAAATAGATATGCAGTCATATAAACATTGTACTAACAATCTCCATTTTTATAGTTTTACATCCCACTTCCTGCTATAGCAGTTGTGCTGGTGGTAATATATGACTGTGCAGTCTAATAAGCACCAGAAAAGTCCCAGTGCTTTCAGTGAACAGCACTCAATTACAAACGTGCTCTGAAATGCCTCCTCTGAAATACAAGTCTGAGTGAGGACATACAATGAGGGGCGTGTCTGTTACTCAGCTCTGCCAGCACAGAGCACTGTAGTGGGAAAGCCGTAAGCAGATTTTTTTACTCAGCAAAACATATTTTAAAGAATTTCTAAGCAAAAATAAGTAACAAATCTCAACATGGTGGCATGCAGGACCATAAGGAAGTATAAATGTGATAAGTCAATTGGGTTTTATATGATAAAAGGAGTAGGTTATTTGAAAATTTAATATACAAAGAGATAATCTTAAGTATACATTTCAAAGAGCAAAGTGTTGTATTCCATAGACACCAATCAGAATTAATTTAATTGATGCCAAACTGGTACAAAATGGCTGCTGTGTATACTACCCTTTGCATATTGCTCCTTAAACTTTTTTATTGAGTAAGCTCAGTGGTGATTATTGAGTTTCGTCTTCTTCAGAATGCTAGGCTATTAAACACAGAGTTAACTTCCTTAGCTAATTCACTTTAAAAAGCGGGCTGCAATCAACAGTCTCACAGCACCATTGCTGGTGTTCGGAAAACACAAACTAGCAAAATAACTTGGCAAGGACATACGCAGGGCTAATTATACAGAAAACATTATTATATTTTCCCTTCTGTGGGACGTTGCATTAAACAGCTCATTAACTTCTCCAGAGAAGGGTGACTGGCTCTATCATAGCTCTGGGCATTGCCTCAATACAAAACTGTCCATCTCAGCACCAGTTGGTGTATGCAGGTGCAGCACTGGAGCTACCAGGCCATCAGCACCATGAACATACTTAACTTCACAATCCATTAGTGCGGGATCATCTAAAAAACTGAAAAAAATATGCCTGGCTGTAATTACTTGATGTTTGATCATATATCTTACAGCTATGTATGTAATTGTAAGATATATGATCAAACACAATTTGAATGAAGTACCTGCCAACTACTGTTTGAATTGCAAGCTAAATTGTCAGCAGATATATATAAAAAAAAGATTTTCAATGCTTGTATGTGTTCATTAAAAATGCTGTCATGTATTTTTAAATGTGACTAGTGTAAGTTCCTAAATATGTCCAGGAGCCCAGCACCCAGTAACAGGTAATGAATGGCCTGCAGGCAACAAAATTAAGGGGGTTATTCACTCAGCTGCCAATAACCCAGACGAAGTGAAGTGAGCCGAACGCTGTTCAGCTATTCACTTCTGGCTTGCACAACTGAAATCAGCTGTACATTGGCTGCCTTCGGCTGCACTTCGGTCGCACTTCGGTCAGCCGAACATGCTCTGTTCCGAACATGCTCTGATCGGCTGAGCCGAAGCTCCGGTAGCTCACTGCATTCGGCTCGGCTTTTCTGCCCGGTACTTCCAAGGTAGCGAGCAGAATAGAAAATAAGTGAATAGAGTTTTTTTTTAAAAGGTTGAAAAAATATTTGTAAAATGTAAACAAATGATCAAAGTAAAAAATAAATAAAGATATTTTAAAAAATCAAAATAAAAACAATTGGGCGGAGCTAGCAGTGACAGATTGCTCCGCCCAACTGTTTCCTATTGGATTATTGGCTCCGCCTAGCTGTCCTTTGCATAAAGAGCGGTCGGCTTCAGCCGACCTTTTTCCACGCTTCGGCTGTTACTTTGGCTCAGCAGAGCTGAAGCATATGGGTTCGGCTCGGCTGAGGCGCTCGGCTGCCTTCGGCTGCTGTACAGGTTATAGTGAATAGCCCGTACAGCAGCCCCTCGGTTTGACTGAACCAAAGGGTTCCGGCGGCCGAAGAGAGCCGAAGGATCAGCCGAAGCTACGGCTGGATCCTTCGGCTCCCTTGTGAATAACCCCGTAACTCTCCAGCAGCATGGTAAAGAGTTTTGTTAGAGCTAGGCCCAACCCATGAATAAACAAGCTCATCAGTGGTTGGCTAAACAACAAACATCAAGGCTAACCATGATGTATTCCTGACACATCTATCGGATTCTCAACAGAGTCCGGAAGATGAAACATCATAGACAGCCACTAGGCACACCTACTGGAAAAATCAGAGCAATAGAGTAAAACTGAAAAATTAGGTGCAGGTTTAAGTAAGCCTTCAGGAACACATCCCTACACAAAAAGAAAATAACTTTTTTGTTGACTGTCTGGAGATGTTGTTGACTGTCTGGAGTTTAGTTTAAAGCCTAACAGAACTTTTGCTTATTGAATTAGCTAAATACATTCCAGGTGCATAAAAACAAACGTTGTGCAAAGTTTTACAGTTCTTTTTTCTAGAAAACAGCAACAGCCTGAGTAGAAAAGTCTCTGGCCAGCATGCTGGAGAGAAGGGCATTCACTCCCTTGGTGGAAGCAGTGCTCTCACTACAGAGGTCCGACATGCCCCCTGCAAAGTCAGAGTTAGAGGTGTCCATTTAAGTTTATCCAAAAGGTTCTGTATAGAGAAATATATAATAGTGAGGCCTAAAGCTTAAACTGAAATGTCATGCTCCCCAGTGCTGGCCGAAAATTGAATGAATAGGCAGCCGGCTGCAGAGAAGGAACTTTGTGTGAGAGCCGTGGACTCGGTACATTGTCCCCTGCCTTGTCACTGCTACAGCTCTCCTCCGCAGGCTTTGCTGATTGCACAGCCTGTATTGATGACTAAAGGAGGGGGGGTGGAGGGGGGGGTGAATAAACTACAGTAGGGGACTGCTGCTCCCACACATATTTATGTAGTTATATTAAAAATAGAGATTTCTTGATTTTTACAACACTAACTGTGCATAACTGCTTGAATACTGCTGAGATAAGATATCAGCCACAGAGGAAATGAATTGTTTTCCATCCGTTGACCAACTGATTGATTTGCATTGTACGAAGGAGTAGTAAAAGAGAACTGCAAAAGCATGCCCTGTGTTTGTAATGTGTATATACTGTATGTCTGCCCAAATGTACACACACAATATATTTTATGATGGTGCCATTATTAAAAATACGTCAGGAGAGGACATCTCTGTTATAGTTTGATAAAGGGGGGCTCAAGTCACACATTCTTGCAGGGAGATCTTATTACTCAAAGACATAAAGAGCTGACAAGTTTATCAAGCCTTGTCTTCCTAGACTGAACTGAAGTTTCATTTGTCAGTAGACTATGCCGTTAATACAGCAAGTAGCTCTATTTGTCTTGATATCAGACTTGTACTAAGACAGGAAGGGAAGGACAGCACTAATAGCCACTCAGATTTGAATATACTGTTATACTCGGCATATACTTGTTCCAACAAGGAACATACTGACAGATAGAGAGCAGAGGGATCAGTCTATCAGTTTTCTGCTGCTACTTCATTGTCCAGTCATAGGCTGTGGGCAGGAGACCTAGCTATGTTTCCTAACTGCTGTCTGGCAAAGCTGTGTATATCACAGGGCTAGATAAACATAAAAACAAATCTTTTGACAATTACGACGTATGGTACATTTGTATTTCAACTGTGAATTTAGCTGTTTATGTATATGATAAATGCTGTGGTTTAATCTTGTGTTTTTTCTAGATGTTCGCAGGAGAACCATTTTTGAGTATCACAGAGTGGAGTTGGAAATGTCCAAGATTACTAACTGCTCAGCGGTGGAAATGTTACCTCTTCCAAGTGAGTGCTTCGGTTGCTGGATAATACGTCACTCTAGAAAAGACAGTCTGCAGTCTATTGATTTAATGATCTGTAAAAGTGGCTTTGAGTATGAAGAATTATCATACTGTAGGAGATGTCAGAAAAAAAACATATAGTGTGTGCAGATCATATTAAGAGTAAGCAAGCAACATCCATTATGGAGTTCATATGCACAGTGCACTTTTTATATCTTTGATGTCATGTTATTTTTGAAAGTGCTGCATTACTTAGATGAATGGACTGACATGATTTGCTCCTCTGTTTTATGGATGTTTTATGAATACAAGACAGGAAGATGTAATTGTTAGCAGATATTTCATTGTATGGCCATTTAAAGGGTCAGTAAACCTTAATTACAACTTTGGTTTACATGAAAGAGCTTTTGGGGAAAAAAAAGCAGCAACTCTACGGGAGCTGCTAAGAAAAACATATTGACAAATGTGAAATACATCAGGACTTAAATTACGTAAATAAGTATATAAATAATTGAATGAACAAATGCATAGTCATCTGGAAACAAGTAGAAATCACCATAAATTAAGTGCCTATTTCATAAATGGAAAAAAAAACAGATTGATGCAGCCTATAAGGAAGCAGGGGGAGCTTGAGGCAGAAGACAAAAGGCAAAAGTTACACACGATTGTGTATTTAAAGATAAACATATGTTGTGGAAAAATGTATAGAACGACCTACAATTAAAATAAATGGAATGGTTTCATGATATTATGCTATGCACCACTATTTGGGGTTTCGGAAGCATTGAGGAACCTGGCCTTGGGGCAGCAGAGAGAATAAATCCAGCCCTGCTTGCAATGCAAGTCCTCAGATACAGTTTATTTTCAGGCATGGAAAACAGTAAGCAAGACATTAGTGATATCACCAAATCTCACTCCGAATCTGATGAGACCAGGAGACAGAGGCAACAGTGCCATAGATCTCACACTGCAGCTATGAGGCTCAAGTCACAGGGAGTGCACTGCTGTTTTTCAGGGGGAAGTCAAGACAAAGGGTAATTTTTTCTGGTCAATGTTTAGGAATAATTAACATTTTTAGATATTCTCTATGAGATAGTAAATCTTCCTTGTTTTAGTTTAGGTTCACTTTAATGAAAGTAGAATACCTCTTTATATAACAATACATTGTTTGCTACAGTTTGAAAGTGCTTGCTATCACATAGCAAATAAAATTAATAAACTACCTGTACTTTATTCAGCAATGGTTACTTTATTTCTGTAGACGAGAGAATGAACCTTTCAGAAAACCACACATGGTCCCTAACATTCCATGAGCCAAACTAGGGAGGACATTTGTATGTGAGGGAGGGGGGGGGGGGCCCCCTGCAGCAATTAAAATAAGACGAGACAGATCTCTACCATCAATGGGTAGAGACAGTTTCACTAGTTTCCTCTTTAGTGATCCCTTTGTGATAAACAATCTCCAAAAGTGTAGAATGGTTGATGTTAAATACAATGTTATGCAATAGAAAGTTCATAACTAACAATTGATTTTTTTATTCTTTTTACTGGTTTTAATAAAGATGCCCTACATTGTATTTTGAGCATCCTGTGCTGGAGGTTAATATGGAATAGATCAGGCATTGAATGGAATACATTAAAAGCTGATTCATATAATGATTCTAACTGTAAATGTCACATTTATGTCACACCTTTGTCTAATAAGCTTCATCTGTTTTGAAATTAAATATTCAATGATTGACACAATGGTATTTTATAGAGCGCATTGATTTATCTGCAAAAGCCCCTCTCTTAATTTGTCCTGCATTAGGTAGATGTGATTGAAGGCACAAATGAATGAATTATTCCACATCTTTCAAAACGATATTGTACAGAAAAATTTAATATGGGGGCTCCTCTGTGGTTATCATGTAATAATCATTAAATAAAGCTTCCAATGTATGCATAGCATTACTGTAATATCAAGGATATGTTCCCACTGCGTTTTATAGAATATATAGAACATATAGGAAACGTTATATGCAGTCCACATGGTACTAAATGATCATACATTAAAGATGAACTTTGTCATTACATTCTCACTGATAATTGAATCATTTTAAAAAAAAACCCACTACAGTTGTTTGCAACATGCAGGTTGAGTTGCTTAGGGATATTGCTACATAGAAAAAGCAAAGCGACAGATTGAACCTATATGGATATTTTATAATAGTGAAGTTGCCATTTAGTTGCCAACACTTAGATCTTGCTTGTAAATGTTAGCAATCATTTTGCATACATTGCCGCTCACAGAAATGCAGCAGGCCATATGGGCTACAACTCATGGTCATATCACCCAATGTCCATATTAATCCAGCTGCAAATTGACTTGAAGAGACTCTAGATTTAAAAAAAAAACCTTTACAAAGTGTTCCCTGAAAAGAGAAGAAAAAAAACAAAACAGTTAATACTTGTCTTGACGCCTGTGCCACCAGTCTTCGCTGCCTTGTAGCACCAAAGCTTGCTGAAGAGTCTTCTCATCTGATACTTATGGGGAACTTCTGGGAATCTTCTCAACTGATTCTGCTGAAGAATCCTCTGAAGAATCTTCCCATCTAAAACACTTCTGGGAGTGAGAACAGGTTACATTAGTGATGTAGTGGCATTCAGTAGGAACCACACAGCGGGTGACCAGGCATTCAACAATCTTGGGAAAGCTATAGTGCTTCAAGAAAAAAAAGATCGGTAGTGGGGCAGGTGAGTTTTAACTGGTTTCTTTGCAGGGAGTATTTTCTAAAAGTTTTTTAAATCTAGCGACAGAGTCATTTTTGCATATTCTACATTCACATCTACTTAACAAACAGTATATGAGCTTTGAATTAAGCCATCACTGACCTCTGTAGTTGCAGGCACTATTGAGAAATTAATTCACAGGGTTCACAGCCGAAGTATTAAACCTCTTCACTCAGCAACTCAGCTCTCTCTGCTCACCAGTTCTTAGATGTAGTGGCTGCATTAGGTTTCTATTTTCAAGCCTGTGTTCCCCTATTTGCATCTGGCAATCCTGCAAATAACACACTTCTTGTCCCTGGTTGGCTACGCTCCACTGAGTCTATGGATGTCATGAAGGCTGAATTTTAAATATGTCTGCCTTTGTTCACTTCCATTACATGGCTAGCAGTTTGAAGAAGAAAATGAACATTGTTTTATGCTTGCACCTCAGCTCACATGAGGTGACAAGGGCATTGCATCTCTGGCAACACCAAAAGGTATTTTCTGGACTTTGGCAGTGCTTGCGATTTGAACTTAATGTTCTTATCCTGAAAAAAGAAAACCAATGCAGCCAATACACCTAAGAACTGGTAGGCTTCAATATAATAGGTTTTTGTTCTGGGTTTTTTTAATTTTAATGTTACTGTTGTGCCCAGGGGCTGCAGGGCTGCAATGCACAGGCATAGTACAATGTAACCAATGAACATCAGTGAGTGGGTTCTACTTGGTGACATGCCAGGATCTGGCCAGACGATACATCTAAGCTACTGCCTGTTTGGCCTAGCCATCAATCAGAAATCAGGAGACCTCATCCACTTTACACTGATTTACAGTTGGTGTGTTAATATATTTTACTGAAAAATGAACCAGCTTACGCTGCCAAAAGAATGCACAGAGGAAAGATGACAAGTGCCATAACCCTTAAACCCAATAGAATCTTCACTCACGCGTCAGAACACTTGAATTGATTAGTTACTAACATGAATTCATATATATATATACAGGGCTCGAAAAATCCACTCGTCCACTCGTCTGTGACGAGCAGACAGTGGAGCCCGACGAGCAGCTTCCCGGCCGGCCGTTGTAATTACACGTCAGCTTGTCTCCAGTTTAGCAGCTGTGGTACCTGTGTCAGATCCCAGATCGGCTTCAACTGCAGCTGGTGCAATAATCTCCAAAGGTAGAGTCATATTGGGATTCCACTGCGTAATTATGTTTTCACTTATCTGATGAAATGATTGGCTATTGGCTAAAATGGTTTCTTAAACCCTGGAGTTTTCTCTTCCATTTCTGAATCATTATGAGACTTACACACATAAAATATAATCCTGTCTTACTGCAGAAGTAGAGAAAGTGCAGGCAAGCAAAATATATTACATGAGATAAATGGAAAGGTAATGAAAAGAGCGGGAGAGAGAGGTAGAGCGAAAAAAAATAGAGAAAGATAGAGAGAGAAAGTGTCCGTGTAAAACAAAAAAGTATTATTCTGGGCCATACTCAGATGTCATATTGCCTTAAAGGGTAAGCAAACTTTCCCGCAAACATTTCCTTAACCTGCTGCCCCCCCAAAGAAAGTGTAGCCCACCTCCCCCCTGCCAAATTCCTATAGATCTTGCTCTGGGGCCTGTGGCATTGTTTGCATTCCTCCAATGGCTTCTTGTTGCAATGCTCACACGTGCACAGTTCAGTCCTATATACTTCCTTGGGGCTGGTAGAGGGACCGGCTCCAGTTCTATAAGGCCAAACTGCACATATGCGGGTATCCAGGGCCGGACTGGGACTAAAAATAGGCCCGGGCATTTTAGACTGAGCAGCCCAATCTTAATCCCTGACCATACACATACCTTGTTCTTACAGTCTTCTCATCCTTAGCAGCGGGGGGAGGGGTAGGATTTGCATATGAATGAGCCGTGATATTTACATATGAATGGGTCGCGGCTTATTGATATGCAAATTGCCGCGACCCATTTATATGTTAATATCTCGGCCGGTACCGGGACAATGCAGGCTGCACGAACAGCACCAGCAAGCTCCGGAAAGAGCACAGAGTAGAGAGAGCTGGGGGAGGAGGTGTTTCTCTGGCCTCCCCCACCATCGCCCTCTAGTGTCTACTGTGTGATAGTGCCAGCTCTGCTCGCTACCACACGGTAGACACTGCTCTGCACAGAGCCGGCACTGGCATAGCGGACCGGCCCGAACACAATCAGGTTGATTGTGTTCGGCCCAGGCCCGGCCCACCGGGCAAGTGCCCGGTTTGCCCTATGGCCAGTCCGGCCCTGCGGGTATCGACCGAAGAAGCCAATGGAGGAATGTTTAGCAGGAGAAGGTGGGCTACACCTGCTTAGGGTGAAGGCAAAAGTGTGAGAAGTTTGTGGGAAGGATAACCCCTTTTTGTTTTTGCTTTAATTGGTCACAAATATCTAGAGCTGACCACAAGAGGGAAACAAAATAAGGAAAATAATGTATCCGCTTGTACATTCAGAGGCTTAGTGCTGCCTCAGGCCTTGGTCCACATGTGTCATAATGGTAAATGCACAATAGTGGTCCTTTAAACCAATTTTAAACTGTAAGATTTATTTCTTGTATGTTTATTCATAATATACTGTAGTGAGAGTACACAGCTCCCGAACAGACATGATAAGTAATAGTTATGCCTGACCTTTGCATCTTCTGCAACTCCTGATATGATGGCCTGGCCACTGTTCTTTTTTTATTAAACAAACTCTGCTAAATATAGGTTGGGTCCAAAATAACCACGTAGCAGAACTTCAGCGCAGATCAAAACTGTAATATGTTCCGTGAAAAAGTACTGTTTATGTCATTGGGGGTCAACTTACCTGTTAGGGTACCTCAAGTGTGGGCCTTGACATCACCAAAGGGCCAAAGGTAAGAATATCACAGGTATTTATATAGCACCAATATTTTATGCAGCGCTTTACATATTGTACATTCACATCAGTCCTTGCCCTTAAGGAGCTTACAATCAAATCTTCTTATCTCATATGCACACACATATAGTACGAAAGCAAATTAACCAACTTAAATGTTGGAGGAAACCCACGCAAGCACAAGGAAAACATAGAACCCCAGTGCTGCAAACCAGAAGTGCTAACCACTAAGCCAATGTGCTGCCCTCTTCAATGCAGTCCTACAGAAGACTCCAGACACGCTACAGGAGATGGTCAAAGACTTCTGACAATATACAAACATGGTTGGAGACTGGCAACATGTTGTACAGACAGTCAAAGACTGGGGAAATTGAGACTGCTAGAAAACACTGGCTTTACAGCTCTGTCTGAGGCCCTCACAATAAGTATGAAATGGCCCCAGGTGGGCTTCATGGGTTTATGATGCCTGCTTTTTCACCCTTTGCCAGCTCCATGTGCATAATTTCAGATTTAGGTCCTGGATTTTGGCTATTTCTTCTAAGCATTTCAGCTCTCAAGATGCAATGCAAGCTTACCCTGCAATGACTTCTTAAGAGCTCCATTGTCCACCAGTATGATGTATACATGGGGTAAGCATAAGGATATATTTTGTGAGGGAGTCCAGTACAGAGTTTGCATATTAGTTGCTTTTGCATTCCAAGCAATAAAGATAAACATGTTATTTATATCTAGTGATTTGCACAGTTAATTAATTCAAAATTGTAGATTTAAATTATACTGGGCTGTGTAGTGTTTATACTGAAACTTTCTATTCAAAAAAGTAAAAATCAGTCATAATAATCTAAATCAGCCACCCATAGGTCAATGTGTTTTGATGCCCCCTCCCCCCCACTCACACATACTCTTCTGCAAAGGATCATAAAACCCGGGTGTTCTGATTTGTAAATATCCAGTGTTTGGCCTATCCTCTCCAATTGCTTGCTATCAAGACCACTATCATTCTCAGTAATACAAAGCTGGGTGCTGGAGGGGTAGGTCAGCTATTAAAGTGACCCTGTCACTGGATTCTAACACTTCCTGGTGTGTAGGATAGTGTATTGCCCTTTGTGTGTTGTGGTTATGTAAATGCAGGACACAATAGTGACATAGGAGTTAATGGGAGAAGCCGCAGTGCACAGTGGAAGACCAGGTAACCAAAGTGTTGGATTCCAGTGGCGGTCATAGCTCTGTAACTGAGAAGACTGGACTGGCCACCTCCTAGAAAGATAGATATGAGTAACGGTCTTTTGCAGGGTGCTGTTATTTCAGTTTGAGCTGTCTAGGTCACAGGGTCACTTTAACTTTAGGGAGGGTAGTGAATATTTGCATATCGGAGGTTTCTGAGCACTTGAAAATACATTTACCTTGAGGACCCAGATTTAAATTACTATGACTGGCTTACATTTTTTTTTTTACCAGAATAATTCAGTTAAAATAAAATTCATAATTCAGGAGTGCTTTAGTCATACTTCTGTGTGAGGCGCCAGACTTAGCGTGAGCTGTATTTTCCATAAACAGATAAAGAAAGTTTCTAAAAAGTATTCATGTTTCACACTGTACTACCGAATGTGTCGCAGGAGTGTTAGATATGCTGGGTAACTCAGCTCAAGTAATGACTTCTCATCCAGGTATTTGAACAATCGCTTATAACTACTTCATGTGTAATACTCGTGTAGCGCTCACCCCCGAAGGAGCCGCTGAATATTGAAATAGGTTCTCCTATCTGTTGGTTCCAGCTGCCAGTCCCCTTTGATCAGCAACAGCACACCGACACTCACGGACAGAACGGCTCGAGTCTTAGGGTCTTTTTAGGGTATTTATTTGCAACATCAATAGGAGAGAGAGGGTTTAGGATCTGTAGGATGCCATTTGGAAATACTTCTGAGGACAGCTTTCTCCCCTAGCAACCGCTAAGGCCGAAATCACTGCGATCTGGTCCCAGGGACCAATAGTAGTTGTGGTAGTAGTACTGTGAACAGATACCTGGAATAGGGTGTGGGATCTCCCTTGTGGGTCCCAGACGGACGCTCGCACCAGCTCCTCTGCGGTACCCCTCAACAAGCGGACTCCTCCCCGACCCAGCTTCCATCAGGTATTTTCCTCTTTAGGATCTGGAACTTCTGTGCCCTCAGCATCTGCAACTGCCAAGGAGCACTCCAGTTAAATGAGAGTATCTTCTTAGAACAAGGCACCCAACACCTGCCACGTGTATGGGCCCAGTGAAGTATCAGTGTATCCTTAGGCCTCCAGGCCCCTCAGCACCTGCCATGTGCTGAGGCCCAGGCTGCTTGCTCTGCATCACACACAGTCCTCCTAGGGCGAGGCCCCTAGGGGAAAGAGAGAGCTCTCCACAATGTCCCCAGACCTTTTATCACCTGCCCTCAACCATGCCTCTGAGTCATCCTACTCAGGGATTGGCTAGGGCCAGGTGCATAGTCATAACCTGAGGGTGGATCCTCCCTCACTGTATACCAAGGCTCCCTTTTCCTCAGCAACAGGAGGAGCAATCGATCCAGCAGACTCAGGGACACCTATAGAATGCAGAGCTCTGTATAATCAGTATCTAGACTGGTTACAGTCCAGGTATCTCTAAATTGAATAGCGACATTTTAGAGGGCGCTACACTCTCACCAAGTTTTACTCTCTTATTGTACAATAACATCCATTACATTAGGTTTTATGTGGCATCTGGCAAGTTGAGTCACATTTTAGTTTCTTTTTATATTTTTGAGAGATATCAGACTAGTCACTTCTGGAAGGGAACGTAGAGGTACAATGTCAGGAAATCACACCAGGATTCAGCAGCCTTTTACAGAGCATTTTAAACAGGCTTCAAGGAGACTCCGAGAGGTGCTAAAGCTAACGGAAACCAGCCAAAGTCTTCTAAAATAATTTCACAGCGCTAAAAATTGGGCAATAATGATAATAAATTAGGAATCAATCTGGATGAGTGATTTCACCTTAAAAAGTGCAGAAAAAATCACACTCTATATGAACATATATAAATGTGTGTAAATAGATTTTTTACACATAAAATTGTGCAAAACCATAAAAGTGCAAGTGATGAGTTAATCACAAAAAACATCAAATCAAACTTCTATCAAGAATTGTGATATAAATGTGTCCATGTATGTGGCAGCCTTTTCAATATAAATACTTGTGCATACAATGTAACTAAAGCAATAATAAATTGAAGCAATAATGATAATTTGTAACTAAAGCAATATTAAATTGTCCATAAAACTGTTTCTTC